AACTGCCTGAGAATTATCCACAGAGAGAAGTATGTCGAATTCTTAGATAGTCCACCCTCACCACAACGATATCTCGATGATAACTCGGACCATCCAAGAAAGACGACTGAAATGGTATGAGTCTAATCGTTGTTTCCTAACCTGAGAGTCCTGTGCAGCTGTCTCTGACACAGCGCGGCTAGCCACTTGGAGGCGACGAAGAGGAGATCAACCCAGAACATGGCCAGAATGAGATCGAAATGTTTAGTGCTATAAATATTCCGCTATATTCCGCCATAAATATTCCGTTGGTGGAGAACAGTTGATCAGGGTTTTCAGATCTTCCGTCCGTTAGTGTCACCGTGCAGGTATACTTCGCGATATAATTGACTGTCCGGAGTGAACACGATCAAAACCGTGCAAAATAAAAGTGCGCAAGGATATGCAATGCAAAGGATCACTAGCGTCGACTGGATTAGTCGAGATCGCAGTCACATTAAAGGAAAAATAGTTACAGTGGAGTAGAGGGGCAGAAAGTTTCAAAAGAAAAGTGAACAGAAACCTACGTCCTCAGGACAGTCCAAAACCAAGACTTGAAGGACACGAGTCTTGTTAGTCATGTTTCGTTCCCATCCTGACTTGTTGTCCTCGTTGCGGGGGAAACCGTCAATGAGGTAGGTTACACAGTGTTTGCTCTTGAAGCCATCCAACATAGCCTGAAAAGCACACAGTAAACAAGAAAACGGATCTAACTATTTGAGATGAAAAGCGAAAAAAACGAATGGATAGGCTTCGTGGATTGTCGAGTTTCGCTAGTTGACATAGTGTTAAAATAGAGAACTTGAGATGCAAAAGAATAAAACCTGGGTTTCGAGCAACTTGCCGATTTGCTAGTTATGTTTGTCCTCATGAAGGCATCAAAATATCACTATTGTGACATTCATCACGTCAATGTCATATTCAGATTTTACTTGCTAACAACTCTGTATTAAGACTTGGCCGAAGCAGGTGTCCCTAAGCCCGCTTAGTCATCCACTGATGGTCCATGTCCTTCGTTTCATCCTGCCCACGTGCCTTGTCGCATGTTCTAACCCCCTGACTTCGTTGACTGCCTTCCCATTCGCTGACACACTGCGAACTTTATTCCCGTGTGCTTATTCATCACTCTTCACGCTCTTTGTTCCTTGCATTGTGTTCTTATTCGCCCCCTGGTTCGTGGACTCCTGCCCCATGTAGTTATTCCCTTATAAACTGGCAGCAACGCGTCTGTGTCATTCATGACTGCTCGGCTAAGCACCTTGCATGTATGTCCACCCTCCTTTCTATTTCTACTTCGCATGTTTTACCTATCGTGAACTGTTAACCTTACTATTTATTTTTATAGAACCACATTAAGCATAACCGAGTTATCTGACTGTCCTTTGACGTAACTTCTGATCTCAGGTGCGTATATTCAGATGACGAAAACCAGCACAGCATAAAGAAACACTGCATTAGCAGCAGTTATTCGAGTTGCTCTTCAGCAGTTCTAAGAACTATTTTAAACGGAATAACGTTTGACTTAAGCGCAACCATCATGCGCTCAAGGCCTGTGGTGCAGATTAATAGGGAAGTTATTACATACATGACCTTGAATTGCTGCCCCATATATGAGTGGTCACTGGCGATGCTTGAGCTAGTCAATAATATCGGCCGTTTTTACGGGTTGGTGAGAGTAAGTTGAGGAGGAGTCTTTGTCCCATGTGTCATTACATGGGACAAAGACTGTTGTTTTGTCATCGCCACAGTCAACGAAGACGGTAAGCGGACGGCTGCACGAGCTTTCCAGAGCACAAAACCACAGGCAGAACAGAGCCATCGTGTAAATTTTACCTGAAGACTATTCGCTGAAATATGCAAAATTGGGGCGGAAAGTATGGTCAGCGACCGAACTCACGAGGCGTTGACAGAAACTCTGAAAGGAGTCCCCGATTAGGAATGATTACTGAAATGGAGTTATAATACATTTGGCATGGTACGTAACCCCAAGATATTTCAGACACAACAGGAAGCTGTTGTTTACTTATTAAGGAGCAATAATAAACGAATAAAAAAATGCCGCCAGAGTGTACGCTGTGCGATCAGAAAAATATCATGAGTAAAAACTTTGTTCCGAATATAAAAACAGAAGCAGACGTAATTTTCAACCGAGTGAATGGAAGAAAGGGGACTCCTATGCTTGCTTTTAATATATTTTAGTTTGTAAGGGTATCGAAAGTCCAAGCAAAAAATGCATGCTGAATAAGTGATTATTTTTACCGAGGTTAGGTTTTGCAGACGGCCGTAAAGTTAGTTCAAAATTCGGCATCGTGCTGTGGCTTGGGACTATACGGCACGATAAACAGTATAACAAATCCACTTAAGGAATTATCCCTGGTCAAAATGCATTTCAGAATTTCAGTTAATACTTAACGAGATTACTCACTGACCGTAGACAGCGAAAAACAAAAACAAAATCTTATAGACAGAAGCCCATCAAAGAAAGTAACAAGTATGGCGTTTACTTTGCTGAAAAACTATTAGATTGTAAATAATTTGCATAAAGCAATATCAAAAAGAAAGATGTATTGTTTTCGTCAACAACTGAAGAATGCAGTTCGAATATGGTCGTAGATAAGAATACATGAAACAATTGTCTCGTAATTAGTAAGCTGGTCAACATGTTCAGACTCACTCATTAATATGCGGAAAGAAGTGAAAATGACATCATTTGAATTGAGTTCTAAACGGCTTCTGTCCTCTACCCCAAATATATGATTGATGATAACATTAATTCACAACCAACATGACAGGAAGTGAACATAGAAACGTACCCTTTCTGAAAAAAAAACTACTCATGAAAGAAAATGATGAGCTGTACACTGTGTTGTTTCTAAACAGCAACACTTGAGTGTGAAGGTATGCTTCTACTGCGCATGAAGCATATGGGCAGCGAAATAATTACTTACCTTGTGTAGCAACGAGCAAGTGATTTCAACCGGAACAATAGTGCCGGCTTTCATGTAAGGTTCTATTTCGGCGGCATGGGCGGATAAAGGATCAGACATCTCCTTGCGTAGCAACTCGCCCGCCGATAAATGGACCAGATTATAGGTCTACAATACAAAAAGGACATAGTAACGACTGAATGTTCATATTCGGAGTTCCAGGTGTTCATATGAATGGAGAGGAATGCTGGTCGAGCAAAAGAGCAATCTCTTTATTATTCGTACAAATGATAGCTCAGAGCAATAAACAAATGACGCCGACGCTCGACCAGCCTTCTTATTTACTTGCAGTAAGAACTGCCGATCTAACTCTGGAAGATGGTAGTATAAATTCATAGGGTGCACTAAAAGTTCCGCGTAAAGTGATTTTTCGTCGAATTCGTGGTTCAGTTTTGGACCAGTCCATAAAGCAGCACCCTTTCCATAGCAGCAGATGCACAACTGGCATCTTCATACTACTGGCTGCCTACGGACAGAACTTGAATGCTAAGGGGTTATTGCGATAAAGTCGATGGGGTGCAGATCAAGTGCCCATATAAACTGTCTAACAGATCCTGACGTCTGCGGCGAAGAATTTATACCAAGCCTACATACTGGTTTCTAAGTCAATTAAAAAGCTCGAAATTACATAATCATAACGTTTCATAGTTATGGATTTATAGGCTTGAGCGACATACTGCCGCCAGAAGTGCTTTTTCAAGGAAGCAGAAGCATTATAAATTTAGAAAAGGGAGGGCTTATACGCAAACTCGCAGAGAAAAGAGGGTCCCCTTTGGTGTACTATCACAGGCCTGTCTAGCCGACTAGACAGGTAGGGATGACGCGAGTACTAGGCATTGCAGTAATACAGGATGGGATGTAGTATATTTTAAAAAAACTTGTACCGGCAGACAGCTAGTATTTGTGCTGTTGCGTTACTAACAAAGCCGATAAAAAAATCTTTTTCTTATCGATAAAAATAATATGCTAATGTGCACGTTTGCGAAACACATCAATTTCAATTTCAATATATTTAAGACAAGAGGCCCAAGGCCCGGAGGAG